CACCTTCCCAGCCTCTGACTTCTGGTTTTATTGATGTGCTTTACCATTGATTTTTGAAACTAGCCATTATTACTACAATGACTGTCTTTGGTATTTGTTTATTATGTTGTGGATGTGCCCTGGCTGGTTAGTGTGTATCAAAACTCATTTTCCATTATTATCTCTAGGGTTTTTAAATTTTTTATATTTTTAATGACAGAGTTTCTGGTAGGACTTAAGTGTTAGACATACACTAGCTCTCTACCTTTTTCCAGTGTTCTCTAGAACACTGGAAAACACTTTTGCAAGGAGTATTCTATCTCTGGGAAACTTAAAGATTACCAAAAGTACAAGGGTCTAGAACTGAAGATTTTTTCAATTTTGTTGTAGTTTTTTTGCTTGTTGTATTTTTTTTCTGTAATTGGGAAGAATTTCTTCTGTTTTTTTACTTGTCATTTTTTAAGAGTACAGTCCACCTATTTGTCAGAATGATTCTCAGTTTTTGTCTAACAGTTTTTGTTTTTCTCTTGATTAAATACTGTATACTTTGGATGGACACCAGAGGAGTGATATCATTCTCAGTGCATCCTATTGAGATCAGTATTCCCAATGCTAGTCAGATTAAGCCCAGTCACTCAGAATAGTGTCCACTTCACACTACTATCAACTGCCCTTGAAATTAACAAATAACTTGTGGGTAAAATGTCTAAGACATTATAAGTATCCTATTCCATATCCAACCCATTTGTTTTACGATCTACTCATGATTTTTCTATCATATCTTCTGTATCCATTGGCATCCTTTTGTATGGAACAGATTTCCCTTTCTGCTTACTACATAAGCATTTATAAATGTAGATCAGGGGCTAGGGAATGTGGCTTAAGGGTAGAGAGCTTGTGGAACATATATGCAGCCCCAGTACCACATAAAGAAAAAAAGTCTGAAGTGGTGCTGTGGCTCAAGTGTTAGAGTGCTAGCCTTGAGCAAAAGAAGTTCAGAGACAGTGCCCATGACCTAAGTTCAAGCCCCAAGACAGGCAAAAATAAAATAAAAAATAAAAGAAATGCACATCAGAATGGGTTTGTAGATGTTTATTTTATATAGTGAGCTATAATATAGTATCTCTATTAACTTTAATGTACATATAGTTCCAGAAACTTGCTGCAGTATAACTTTCATCTGTGTTCATATTTCCTTACTTCTGCTGCAGGGTATTAGAGGCCCTTTCCTTTCCCTGTCTATTACTTGAATGAATCTTTTCCCCAGGGAACACTGTTCCTTTGTAAAGCTTTAGAGTAGGTAGTAGTTATGTTCATTACTCTTGGCATGTTAATACCTAATAGTGTCCAAAGCTAGGAATTGTGTGTGTGTGGGTGTGTAAGTAAGAGAGAGAGAGACAAATTATATAGTCATTAGAATTTCTAAATCTTCATGTCAATATTTAGGTTGAAGAAATGGTGTTCTATTCCTTTTACACCAGGAGTTTTTGTTGTTGTTATTATTTTGTTTTGTTTTTGTCAGTCATGGGGCTTGAACTTTGGGCCTGGGTGCTATCCCTGAGATCTTCAACTCAAGGCGAGCCCTCTACCACTTGAGCCACAGCGCCACTTCCGGTTTTCTGGTGGCTAATTGGAGATGAGTTTCACGGGCTTTCCTGCCCAGTCTGGCTTTGAACTGCGACTCTCAGATCTCAGCCTCCTGAGTAACTAGGATTACAGGCATGGGCCTGCGCCCAGGTACACAAGGAGTATTGAATTTTGTCAAATTTTTGTATCTAATGAGATGGCCCTAGTTTTCCTTCAATAAAGGAATATCTTTTAATGTTTGAATCATAGAGAACCAATTTTCTTTCCCTTCACTTAAAATTTTGTTTTAATTTTATAAAATGATGATTTTAATGTGACATTTGCATTCTTGAATACTATGCACTTTAGTTGTAGTTATCTTCTTACCCTCTCTTATTTCTCTTCTTCCTCCCACTGGTTCCCTCTCTCCTCCAGTAGTCTCCCTTCTGCATAAGCGATTGCTTTTTTAATCTTCAATTGACCTTGCATTTTTTGGGAAAAACTATGTTTTCTCAGTGTATATATTATTTCTTTTCATATACAGCATTAACTTTTATTTCCTAACATTTTGTTATGGATTTTTATGTATCTACTTATGAGGGATGTTGCCTTTTCATTTACTTGTTATAACTTTGTCTGGTTTTGGTGTCAGAATAATATTGGTTTTATAATGAATTGGGAATATCAAAGCTTGTATTCTGAAGGATCTTGTGAGATTGGCTTTGTTTCTTCTGTATAAGGCAGACAGATTTACCAGTGAAGCCATTTGGAATTTTCTTTACAATTTCAGTTTTTGTGGTAGCTGTATAGCTATTTCACTTTTCTTCTTTCTTTTGTGTCAGTTTGATTATTTATATCTTTTTAAATATGTCTGCTTTGTTTAGGTTTTCAAGTTCTTTGGCATAGGATTTCATCTTTGCATTACTCTTTTACTATTCAAATGATACTTCCCTTTTTATATCCATATCAGACATTTTTGTCTTTGTTTTCTTGATTAGCACAGGCAAAGTTCATCAATTCCTTTTATCCATCCAAGGAACCATTGCCTTCTGGATTGCATAATTCCTAATGAGACATCTGTGATAATTCTTAAGATTCCTTCCACATTATATAAATGCATTCTCTCCTTGGCTTTTTATGTTTTTTTTGTTTCATAATACTTTTTACAAGTTATTTATATATTAATGTTGTTTTCTTTGTTCATCTTACTTGAAAATTGGATAAGCATGGATTTGAGTTTATAATTTTCATCAGACTTAGAACATTTCTGGCCAGTATTATCAAATAGTCTTATGTTCTCCCCAGGCTCTCCCCTCAGTTTCTGGAACTTCAGCTATATATATGCTTGACCACATAGTAGTCCTAATAGTCCTGAGAATAGAACTGAGTTTCTGGTTTTGTTTTTGTTTTTCTTCTTTTTCTACTTTTAGATTTTCTTTTGCTGTATTTTCAAGTTTGCTTTCTCTAGGAGTTACCCAAATTTGGTGATCATGCAGAAAATCTGCTTCCTAAAAGACAGGTTAAGGAGGTGATGGAAGGGTATCCTTATTAGTGTTTGGAAGATGTCCAGCAACTTTGCCCTGTTTGAATAACTAAAAGAAGTGACTCCGTTTTTACACCTTTTTTATGTGCTGTAATTTACACACTGTCTTTGGGGCCTATCAGAGTGACTGGGATGTTTCCTAGCTTTATGTAAAATCTCTTCACAGGTTTTACAGCAATCACATAACAGTATTAATTTATTCATTCATTTATTTACTTAGTGCCAGTACCAGAGCTTGTGCTCTTGCTTGTTTTTATTCACTTGCAGCTGACAATCCACCACTTGAGCCTCATTTCAGTCTAGCTTAGTTACTGATTAATTGGAACCAGAGTCTCTCAGGGATTTTTCTGCCAAGGCTGTGAAGTATGATACTGGAGATTTTAGCCTCCTGAGTAGCTAGGATTATAGGTTTGAGCCATAGGAGCCCAGCTATAATTGAAATTCATCTTTATAACCCTCCAAGGTAAACCAGAGGGGTTGGCCTCCCTGATTTTTAGACTGTAGGTGGCAGTACCCAGATGCCCTCCTTTCTATACCGAAGCTCAGGCTTTTCCCTTTGGCTTCCCACAGATCTTTCCTCTACCTTGTCTGTGTAGCTTATAACCACTCATCCTTAACTACTCTGTTGTAAGTATAAATTTCACTTTAAAAAAGGAAAAATCAAATCTATTTTTCTTTGTCTTCTCTATATATTTTTAATGAATTCTGCAGGTCAGTTTGTTCCCAGAAGGCCACACCAGAATTGAGGGAAAGCTTTACTTGCTTGCACATTTGCCTGTCAAAGCTTTAATTCAACTGCCAGCCTTTTGGCATTTACTGTACTCTCATTAGTGAATGATATTTTGATCGTGTCATACTAACCAAGCCTATGTGAGAGAGGGGAAGCACCAGATATTTACAGAGGCATCAGAAGCTTCATAATTACTAGAGGAATTGTTACCTTACACATGTATTTTAGTTAGGATGTGTATAAAAGTAAAATCATGCTCTTGAAAAAGAAGAAGCCAAGGAATATGCTTAGATTCTTTCATCTCTTTAAGAATATGTTTTGAACACCCATTGTGTTTCAAACATTGATTTAGGTGTACTATTTGGTGAAACTGACAGTGTAGAAGATTGAAATCTCTGCCCTGGAAATGTTTCCATTCTAGGATAGGAAGACATGTCAGATAGTGTGAGAGGCTATGGGAAAGGCTGAGCAATCAGGAGGCAGGCTCTGGAGAGAGAGGGTCAAGGGAAGCCTTCATCACCTTTACTTCCTCTCTACCTTCCACCAAAGAAATCTGATTTATAGCAACTTGGTTTTTTGTATTGTATAACTTCAGACTAAACCTTTTTTTTTTCTTAACATTGTGCCCAGTAAGAAACCAACTTGTTCAATGACATTTGTTCAATTTCATTTTTTCCCATTTTTTTCCTACAAGTCTATGCTTATATGTTTTTTTGTTGTAATTTATATCATAGTCTACATGTTTTGTTTTTTTAAAAAGATCTACATTAAAGGAAAAAAGAGCAAAAAACATGCTAGAGAAAGACAAAATTATTTAAGAATTTATCTCAGCAACTTGTCTTCATGCAGTTCTTGTAGTTTTGGGGTAGGGTTCCCCTAAAATAATGGTGTCCATACCATAAGTTTGGGTGATTTTGTAATTCTTTTGGACATTGGAAGAACTCTTGGAATTCTTTTGGAAGAATTCTTTTTGGTATTACAAGAATTGTATTTCTTCTCTATCTGGCCAGAAGCCTGGGATTAACCTGGGAAAGACGTGGCCAAGGCTGGTGGCATCAGGGTACTCTTAGAAGTATAAATGTGCAGCTGCCCATACTCAGGACAAGCCAGCCTTACCTTTCTGTTCTAGAAGCTACAGATAGTGCTTGGGCTTTCAGGTAACTGTTTTCCTTTCATCTCTAGACGGCAACACAAAGACAGAAAAGGGGCAAATGACACGTGACACAGCTCCACACAAGGCTTGGCTGCTTCCTGGGTAACTTCCAACTCTGCAAAAGTCTAAAACTCTGCTGCACTTTCTAGAAAACCACGAAATGCCATAGTGTATTTTGAAGAATCGGTGATGGATGCTGTATTTCTTTGATCAATTATGGGTATTTCCACCTGGAGCCTTTGGCAAGGTAGTTTTATCTTAGGCTTGAAGGTACCTAATGTAGATTTGAGTAATTCGGTTCACTTACCTTCTTCCCCAGCCCCAGCCTCCCATAACAGTGTGGGTCTTTGCAGTAGAAAGCTTCAGATTGCAAAATATCAAGAGGAGAAGGCCTGTTGGGAAATCTGGGTCACTTCTTAAATCTGACCTGGTTGACCTGTCCTACTTGAGTAAAATCAGCATGGTTTAGACCTACAGATGGTGACATAAGCCCTTGATTAATTTTAAAGGCTCTGCTGAACCAAGTTTCAACCCATACTTTAAATATTTACCAAAAACTTGACCCTTCTTTCCTCCTTACCAACTTGGCAGCTTCTAACACCTCATGATATTAACATGTGCATTTTATGATCTTACAGAGTTATAAACATTTCTTCATTTTTATAATAGATTTGCCGAGTGTATGTATTATTGTTATTTTTAGAGTGGGAGTATAAGCTGTGAAGGAATGCTGTAAGTAAGTGCCAAAAAGTAATTAATTAAATGGGGAATGTTGTAGGAGGTAGTGGGGGTCGTATGCAAACATGTCCTGGGATTTAAGCAGGGTCATGTACTAGACCTGCAGGAAGAATGGGTGGAGTGGCTGCTGTTCTTTGATCTGCCTGCATCACATGGACCCCCAACATCATCTGCAAGAACTGAGTTTCTAAATTTCTAAATCTACACCAAGTAAGTTGAACCCAGTTCTGACAGGTAGTCTGTTAGTTTTTCACATCTGCTTTTATATGTAGAATTATTTTTATAACCTCAGAGAAATTTTAACATTTCTATGCTTACCAAAGTTGAGATGCAAATCTTTTCCCAAACCCTAGCTCTACAAAGTCAGTATAGAACTCTGGATATATTACAGACTTCCAGAAAGGGGTGCTACACAGAAATGATCCACTTGAAACTCATGCATGCCATTTGGGTAAGGTTAATGAGCCTTACCAGTTGTGCATTTATGGAATTAAACAATAAGGCTTTCCCTATCCTCGTCTTGTACAATCCCAAGCACTGCCTTTGGCCCAAAGCAATTGCTAACACTAGAGTGCTATTGCTGAGTAGATGCTAAGTCCTTGACCTAATAGTTTTGTGGAGCTAATCTCTGAGCAAGAAAGCCTAGCACAGTGGCTAGTGAAGCCCTACCCTTGTATATCCTGCAAGACACTTACTCTGAAACTGGGTTCCAAGTGTGAGGATCCCCCAGATTGTGAATGGCTGGTTGGTACAGTTCTATCACTGCCTCATATCACATATCACTCCCAGCTTCAGCCTAGTGCTTCTCTGTTCTCTGTCTTCCTCCTTCCCCTTTACCTTCCCAGTCACACCCTGCCAGAGCTACTAGATATGCCCAACTTGTTCCCAGAAGCCCTTTTCTCTTATTGTGACCTATGTTCATATTCCACTGGCCTCTGACCTTTGAAGAACTGTCAAACTTAGCACATCTAAAATTATAAAAACTCATTTTGTTCCCTATGTAACATACATTCCCTCAAAAAAATCAAGCACAAACAAAAGTGATCTACAACTTCCCCCAACACCAAACAGGTTCTTTGGCAGTTGTAAGCTCTGAATTTGCTCATTTCCTTAGTTTACACAATGCCCAACGTCCAGTTTCTGTCCTCTTTTTTTTTTTTTTGTCAGTCATGGGGGCTTGAACTCTGGGCTTGGGCAATGTCCTTGAGCTTTTCAGCTCAAGGTGAGCATTCTACCACTTGAGCCACAGTGCCACTTGCAGTTTTCTTGTGGTTTACTGGAGATAAGAGTCTCACAGACCTTCCTGCCCAGGCTGGCTTTGAACTGCGTTCCTCAGGTCTCAGCCTCCTGAGTAGATAGAATACAGGTGTGAGCCACTAGTGCCTGGCTTCTGTCCTCTTTTTAATAAGTAGCCAGTGGTCACTGTTTATGCAATTCACTTCTGTCATTTTATCCAAGGGTCAAATCTTAACTAAGTCCTTCAGAAATCCCATGGGAAATTTTAAATTCAAATACGTCAACACATATAAGAACTTAAAAACTGAGTTGAACCTCAAGTCTCACATATGCCAGACATGTCCTCTACCACTGAGCCACACTGGCTGCACCAGCCCTTCCCACTGCATACCTATTGCCACAAGCCCAAGGATGTTTCCCACATGGATATCTAGCTTTCTCGCCAGCAAAAACCATCTGGCCTGGGTCTCAAATAGAGGTGCTACCCCAGTGATGAGCTTTCCATGTCTTCCCACATAAATGTGAGTCACTAATGGACAGATTAATATTCCTCCTCTTTCCCAAGTTATGGTGTTCTTTTAGAAAACAATCGTGCTTCAACCAGAAGAGGAGGTGGTCGAGGCTGCTGGAAGCCAATGTGGAAATAAGCATCCTGCATCTCTTTTAGCATCAAATCCTGCATCCCTGAGTCAGCAATGCTCATGGTTAGAATTACAGTCTTAGGAGAAGGAGGAACCTTTATTGTGGGGCTGCTAATAGAAAATGGGGGGAAAAACCTAAATTGAAAGATAAGGGGAAATATTTTGGTATTGAAAGTACAATGATTCCCTGTTTTTCCTTTTCCGATCTTTTCTTCTCTCCCCCTCTTCCTCTTTTAGAAAGTTTCTATGATAAACATGTATTAATTTTAAAATACCATACACTGGTGGCTCAAGCTTGTAATTCTAACTACTCAGGAGACAAGAGATCTGAGAGTCACAGTTCAAAGCCAGCCCAGAAAAAAAGTCTGTGAGACACTCCAAGGTGTGATTCAGGTGGTAGAGTGTCAGCCTTGAGCAAAAAAAGCCAAGCCAGAATGTGAAGCTATGAGTTCAAGGCCCAGTGTCAGCACAAAAAAAGGGGGGGGGGGGGGAGGATACCTAGTGATATTAAAAAATAATTAATGTATACAATTAGTTCCTTTCACAATCATAAATCTTTAAAAAAAATTTTTTTTCCAGTCGTGGGTCTTGAACTCAGGGCCTAGGGCACTGTTCCTGAGCTGCTTTTGCTTAGGAAACTCACTGTACCACTTGAGCCACAGCACTACTTCTGGCTTTTTCTGTGTATGTGGTGCTAAAGCATTGAACCCAGGGCTTCATGGTGCTAAAGCATTGAACCCAGGGCTTCATGCATGCTAGACGAGCACTCTACCACTGAGCCACCTATCCAGCCCTAAAAAAAAAAATGAGTGTTAATTAATTTCTTAGAGAAAGACTCAGCATGGAAGAGTGAATATTCCATCGTTCTATGTTGACTACTCATATGGATGCATAGCAAATACTGCCAGGAAGCAAATAATGGCTCTTCTTCTATCCCTAGACTTACAAGATTTCTCTATGGGATTCCCTGCCTCCCTCCCCTAGTCAAAAAGATGATGGGCTTTAAGTTGTGTGTTTGGAATGTGTACATGGATGACAAAATAAACTATTTCTTTTTCCTTGAAAAAGTTTCCTTGAAAGTTTCCTAGGGGTCCTGGAAATAATTGTAAATGCCCTAGGGTCTACCACAGCCTGAATGAAGAATGACTATTTCTGTCTCCAGCACAGTAAAGAGAACAAGCATCCCATCATTGAGGACAGAAGAGAACATTTCACACTCACTGACAGCCACCATCTTCTTAGTTTTTTCCCTTAGAGACAGGAACCAAATTGCTCAGCCTTACTGGGAAAGCTTTTGAGAACCAGTTCCTGAATGCTACTTACTGGTTCTTCAAAAGGACTTTATAAGGATGAGTCAAGATGAGTGGTGACTGTACTTTTAATGTTTTTGAAATGATTTGGACCACTTCTAGGAATATGTGAAACTGGATGATCCTAAATTAATGTTGCATCTTTTCCCCTCATACTTTGCATGATTTGATCATTTAATAAAATTATGAAACATTAATATTATTGAGACTTTTTTGAGATTGAGAGTTTTTTGGTATGGATGTTGACCTGAGAGGCGTACAATAAATGTCTTTCCCAATTGAGTGTGGATCACTTATCTTAACACATTTTACATTGTAAAACTCCTAGAAATACATATATTTTTTCAGTATGATGGAGGGATCAAAGAAGGAAGAGAGGAGAAAGAAGAAAGAGGAAAGAAAAAGAAGGCGGAGAGGGAGGGAGGAATGAACATTCCGTATCTAAAGTGGTAGTAGTGGGAGATGGATCTCCAGAAGGTTTCCTCTGGCTCAGTGGCTGTTTTACAAACTTACTGTCACCTTCTTCCCCACTGTGTGTTTGGGTTGATGACCAATTAGCCAGATACCATGAATGGTTTACAAAGCTTTAACAAGTCCTGATGCCAGCCCTGACTGTAGACATGCTGCTTTAGTTGGTCTAGGAGTGTCTGGATACTGGGTGTTTACATGTGGCCCCTAATGGTGTTTCACTCTCCTCTTCCTCCTCATCCCTACCCCTGTCAGTTTTCACAAGGCCCTCACTTTCACCAAGACAAGTGTATTCTTTTTAATTTTGCTGTTGTCTAGTTTCCTAGCACACAGCCCAGGCACACTCTAATACCCCAAAAGCACAAGAAGTCTGAAGTAACTGGGACAATAAGGTAGAATTTGAAGCCAGGTCCATTAGAGCTACTGAAAGTGAAATCCCTCCTAAAGTGAAATGATCCTGGGACAGACTCATTCAGGAGAGGTATGTTTCTCAAAGGGGGATGAAAGTAATTAATTTATATTGAATGTTTGGAGATAACTCATTATTGTAACAAGGATGCATATAAGGAAAGCTATTTCTCCTGTAAATCTATCCTCCATTTGTCTTTTTTTCCCCCAATGCTTCTCTAGGCAAGACAGCCACCATGAGATAAATCAGGTGTTGATGGACAGGCTGTGATTTCTCTTTCCTGTATAACACTCATCATGGCTGCCCATGAATGAACTGTGTGCCTGGAGTAGTGAGTAATAAACTGGGTGAGGGATGGCTATTCAGTAGACTTTGGCTTTGAAGGGGATGGACATGGGAAATTTTTTAACAGTGTAAAAGAGACAGAAAAGAGATCTACAGGATTTCTAGATATGGGTAAGAGGTAGACCTGGGCAAGAATGAATGAGCATAGGGCAAAGGCAGGCAGCCTTGTCAAGACATCAAGACAAGAAGGAATTAATATCACATTGGCTTAGGGATATAATTTCACTTATTTTCTCCCTGGTGCTTTAGTCTAAAAGCACAGTGAAAATTCCAGTTTAAGTTGTGGTTAGAACCACAAGAGCCAGCTAACCTGCTGGCAGGCATACAACCTGGAAGGGCAGCAATTGTGTGAGGGCCCTGGGGCTGGACAAGTCCAGGCAGAGTAAGTGCAAAGTCAGGAGATTTCCTTTGCCCAGGTGTGAAAATAGGTGTCAGCTTTCAGAGCTATTCAAGTACCTTTCCATGCTTAACAAGCAGACCAGAGGCAGCTAATCACTCAATGAAAGCTAATCATTTTGCTGCTCATTTATTTTCCCAGTTAATGCTTTGCAAAATAAGTGTGTACCTTTCCAAAGAAGAAAGACTTGTAAAAAGGGTAGTGGAGTTCATGACTTCAGAAAACTGGCTCCCGCTTTTCTCTAACGACAGCTTTATAAGGCCAAGGAAGTTCAAAAGGTAAAGTGCATTGGTAGGAAATGAATTTTTTTTTACTTGTGTAAAAACATAGAGATATTGCTGGGCGCCAGTGGCTCATGCCTGTGATTCTAGCTCTAGCTCTTCATGAGGCTGAGATCTGAGGATCACAGTTTGAAGCAGTCCGGGTAAGAAAGTCTGTGAGACTTATCTGTAATAAATTACCCACAAGGACAGAAGTAGAACTGTGGCTCAAGTGGTTGAGTGCTAGCTTTGAGCAAAAGAAGCTCAGGGACAACACCCAGGCCCTGCGTTCAAGCCCCAGGACTGGCACAAAATTAAAAATAAAGATATTTATATTGATTCATATGCATATATAGTATGTGTATAATTATTTGATCAGTGAGCCATAACTAAAAATACAGAGAAAAATGAGTGGGATTTTCTTTGTTTACCCAATTATTTAGGTAAAGAGTTTATTTTCAAAGATATCTTCTTGTGGGGCTGGGAAGGTGGCTCAGTGGTAGAGCGCTTGCCTTGCATGCCTGAGGCCCTGGGTTCGATTCCTCAGCACCACATAAGAAAAAAGCCGGAAGTGGCGCTGTGGCTCAAGTGGTAGAGCGCTAGCCTTGAGCTGAAGAGCTGAGGGACAGCGCCCAGGCCCAGAGTTCAGGCCCCACAACCAGACCAAAAAAAAAAAAAAATCTTCTTGTGCTCTCTCTCTCTCTCTCTCTCTCTCTCTCTCTCTCTCTCATTAGTCATGAGGCTTGAACTCTGGGCCTAAGTGCTATCCTTGAGCCTGTCAGCTTAAGGCCAGTACTCTACCTCTTGAGCCACAGCTCCACTTCCAGTTTTCTGGTAGTTTATTGGAGATAAGAGTCTCACAGGGCTGGGAAGGTGGCTCAGTGGTAGAGCGCTTGCCTTGCATGCTTGAGGCCCTGGGTTCGGTTCCTCAGCACTACATTAGCAAAAAGAAAAAAGCCGGAAGTGGCGCTGTGGCTCAAGTGGTAGAGCACTAGCCTTGAGCTGAAGAGCTGAGGGACAGCGCCCAGGCCCAGAGTTCAGGCCTCACGACCGGACCCCCCCCCCCCAAAAAAAAAGAGTCTCA